TATATCCAGGTCCGGACTAGAAAAATAAATAACAAATTCTTTCAGGCTCAAAATCATTTTTGAAAAATTGCTTTACCTATTTGTGAAGAGCTCAAAAAACTGAATTTATTGATGTATCGTTCGTTTTCCAGCAGATAATTTTATTTCAAAGTTTCGGTTTATCAGAATTTTATTGATTTAAAATGTAATGCGATGGATTTTTATTAATATTTTATATCTAATCTACTTATATTTGTATTTTTTAGAAATCATAATATCATCATTTTCCTAGAACCAATTCAAATTTATTACAGATTACTAATTTATGATAAGCAGGAAGTACCTGTATAGAAACATTTTAAAATGTACTAATTGGTATACTTATAACTGATAAAATGATAATGCCAAAGAAGGCAGCAAAGCACCTCGGGAATTTTGAGTTGAAACATATGTCTCATTTTTAGGCTATTTTAAGGCTATTTTTATGCCCTATTCAAAAATTTTATGCTCCTCGTTTTCTGCAAAAATCAAGGTGCTCTGCTAGCTTCGAACGAAGTCAGCAGAGCACCTCAGTTTTTTAAAGCTTTCTTCCAAAACCAGCGATACCATATTTTTAGGCCCTTAAAATATTATAAAAATTTTCAAAAAATGTTGTTATTTTTAAAAAATACAGGGTGCTTTGCTACCTTCGAATGAATCCAGCAGAGCACCTCGGTTTTTTAAAGCTTTTTTCTAAAAACAACTACACCACATTTTTAGGCTATTTTTAGGCTTTTGAAATATTATAAAACTTTACTAAAAAATTGCTATTTTCAAATAATAGAGGGTGCTTTGTTGGAGCAAAGTCAGCAGAGCACCTCGGTTTATTATTATTTTTTTCAGAAAACTAGTTATGCTACGTTTTTAAGCTATTTTTAGGCTCTTAAAACAATATGTAACTTTTCAAAAAAATGTATTTTTTAAAGAATACAGAGTGCTTTGCTATCTTAGAACGAATCCAGCAGAGCACCTCGGTTTTTTAAAGCTTTCTTCTAAAAACAACTACACCACATTTTTAGGCTATTTTTAGGCTCTTGAAATAATATAAATTATTCAAAAAAAAGGTTTCTTTTATTTATTTTCTTTTCGCAATCATGAACATATTTGTGACATAACCAGTTACATAATGTTCAACTTTATGTAACTCAAAGTAGATAGATCATTTGGACACTCGCTGCGATTACAAAAATGTCACTTTGTAAGTCAAATTAAAAGAAAGTAACACATAAATAATTATATTATATTCTGCAAATATATGCAATACACAGACCAATTCGGCCAGTCCGCGCCTCAGCTGTAGTTGAATACCTGTTGAATACCCAGAAAGAGAGCAGTTCCATTAGACTGCGCGGAGAAATAAGAATTATTACACGTACAATTATTGTCTTTACACAAACAAAGAGAGGGTTGCGTACAGAGATATTCTATGAAATGGATGAGGCACCTCTCAACTTCGACCTAACCGAAAGCGGTAGAACAGCCCATAGAAAAATAAAAAGAGAAGGTTAGAATAAATGGACGGACTTGTTTCCTTGTTGGTAGTTGAACCGTATGCGCTTAGCGCGCTGCTATCACTAAATTCAAACCCGTTTTACACCAATAAAAAACTACGTTTTCAAAAACAATGACAAAGAAATCAACAATTTTACTGATTTACCACTTTAAATTTCCCTTTAATATAATGTGTGATCAAATACATGGATAATAGTTAATAAATGTAAAGTTAAAGCTAAATTTAAATATTATGAGATGGTGTAAATCTGGCTTTAAAAATAAATCCGGTTATGTTGCCATAAATATGTCAGCCTGATAATATTTTTATTTTCAAATATAGGTATTATTTTTTTTAAATGTAGGTGAGTAAATTGTATTAATTTAGTATAAGTTAGATTTAACTAATTTAACTATAGGGAGGTTCTCATTAACTTTTGATTCATTTAAATTTTAATTGCAGAAGTAAATATTTTTCTCACAAAACTAACAAGAAATTTTATATTTTTCCTGCTAATATTAATACTCAGAGATAAATGGATCCACATTTTAAACATTTGTGGTCAAAAAAATGAAAGGAGTTGTGAGCGAAATGTGAGCCAATTTACAAACAGATTTTGTAGAACCCGAGATAGAACCTCATCATAGTTTTACTCATAAAGATCATGATGAAAAAAGGCGAATGATTTGTGCTTAAAAAGTTATTGTTCAATTTTTGGGTGATATGGCGCTATCACAAAAATCAACGAAGATCTGCAAACTATCTCGGAGATATCTAACAAATTTTGCTTAACAATTAACGCTACAAAATCCAAAGCTATGCTTTTCGGCCGTAAACAAGTTAAAAATAGAATTAAAAATATTCTAAGGGTAAGTATTAACAATGAATTTTTAACATTCTCAGTTTGTGAGAAAAATCTGGGCATATACATTGATGAAGATTTATCCTTTGCGCAACATATCTCTTCTATAATAAAAAAATCTTTCTGTAATCTAAAGTTAATTTATTCTAATCGGGAATTTCTCAACAGAAATACCAAAAAGTTGCTTTGCGAAAGCTTAGTGCTGTCTCAGTTTAATTACGGTGACATTGTATATGGGCCTGCACTTACACAATTTCATAAAAAGCGTTTACAACGAACTCAAAATGCGTGTGTTAGATTTATTTGCGGGGTTCGTCGTCGTACCCGTACATCTCAACATCTGGCTAGTTTGGGATGGCTTAATCTAAATAATAGGAGATTGTTACATGCCTATGTCCTGATCCATAAATTATTGTTATCAAAAAAACCTGATTATTTGTATGAAAAAATAAAAAGGAGATCTGAAGTCCATAATGTTAATGTAAGATTTAAAAATTTCCTAACACTTTCGAAACACACTACAACCTTATTCCGATCTTGCTTTTCGTATTTCACAGCCAAATTATTTAACCTTGCCCCTAAAATATTTAATATCACATCACTCTCAAGTTTTAGAAAAGTAGTCAAAAACCTTTTATTTAACGGAGATATCACTTACAATTTTTAATTTATATTGTTAATTAAATTTAGTTTAACAATAATATTTCATGTTATTTCTATTTTTTACTCGTCACTATTGATTAATAACTACAATAACAACACAGATCTAGGATTTATAAAATTTGACCTTTGTTTTTATTATTTCTAAGTTTCCATATTAATTGTTTGTTTGCTTTCTTATTGAAAGCTAGAATTTCACTTTTTTTCATAGAAAATCTGTATGCATTACTTAATTATTTATATTTTTCTGGGTTGCGTGGAAGAGCGCTGCTTATTTGCTGGCTCAATCTTTGAGCTCGCCAGTAAGTGCGAACGTCGCCTTTTGTCTTTCAGTATTTTTTTTTATGTATATTTATATAATTTTGTATAATAATTTGTATGTATTGAAAGCAATAAAGTCATTATTATTATTATTATTATTATTATTATATTCGTTATCTTCTCATACTGGTGGTTTACTTCTCAGTTCTTTTTACAAGTTTACTATTTAAACTTTTTTTGCACTTTATACATTAAAAGTGCCTTCATTTTAGTTACCAAAGTACTACTTTTAAACCCAACGGATTTCAAAAATATTTAATATTTAGAATACAGCTGGTTAACAGTCATTGTTTGTTTGATGTCAAACTGACAATTTTGTTGAAGGCATGTACAGATATATTTTTTTTTTAAATTGTCAAATTTCAAGTTTTAATGTAGGAAATTCAATAAAATAGCATATCCCTCGAGTAATTGTTGCACTTACTGTCAAAGTTTGCATTACTTTGAAATAAACTGCATATTGTAAATAAAATTGTAATATATATTTGCAACGATGTCCTATTTTTGCCAATCCAAATCTGCTCCAATTCACTGTTATTTTTAGTTAATTAGTAAGCATTAATTGTGAAAAAATAAATGTTACATTATATATATTTTTTTATTTTAAACTTCAAAAACAAGGTTAACATTTTCATTAAAAAAAGAAGTTGACTACAGCCAGGGACTTAAGTTAAATAGCATATTTTGATTTCAATCGACTGAATCCGAGGCTGGGAATGTAGCTCTTTTAATATAGATAACCAATAAGTTATAGGTTACCTATATCAAAACAGTGACACTCCCAATGTCTCGGATTCAGTCGATTCAAATCAGAATTATAATTCAACTTTTGCCTAGACTGTACTTTCTAATAAAAAACATTCTGTTAACTAAAAATAAACAATAGTTTCATAATAAATATTCATAGACTACAGATAGTTATCAAGGATGGACACATGAATATGTGTAAATGTCAAAAAAATAATTGAATAAGACATATCTTCAGGATTTTGCTATACTGTCTAAAATTAAAAAGTACATAAAATGAGTCAAATCGTTTACGTGATGATTTAGAAACTAATTTTTAACTGGTCAAAAATAAACTACATTAATTTTTTAATAAACAAAAAAAATAATATTGAGAAAAGTTGTTCAGAATTAAAATTTTCAGTGGAGTTAAAAATAGTCAAAAATACACGTAGTACATTTAGTTATTGATAAAATAACAATTTAACTTGGAAACGATGAAAAAATGTATTTAATACAATAAGTTTTTTTATGAATATAATATAATAATTGTATTCACAAAAATCTATTATTGTATTAAACACATTTTTTCATCTTTTTCAAGCTAAATAATTATTATTTATTGACAACTAAGTGTACTGTTTACTTTTGAAGGCATGAAGGCATATGAGGTTCGATTAGCACCAAAATTCTACCACCAGCTGACAGCCTATGATGAAAAATATAATTGAGATGAACCGAGCAGTGAAAAGAAAAATCCACCTATATATGTATTATAAATTTTCCATATAGATTCCAAAAGTTTAGAACCCTTGCAATATTGTCACGATTTCTGACTGTTCGGAACTCTTGTCACTTAAACTAAATATAAACAAACTTTTAAACTTAAATACTCTTGTTCTTATATTAATACATTAAAAATCAAGAGCTGTCCGAACTACTAGAATTTATCCTCTTTCTTTTTTTTTGTATCTCTATTAGAGACTGGAATTGACTCAAAAATCTTTCTCTTTGCTCATTTTGTGTATCTAAAATGTTCTCCAACTTATCAAAATTCTGTTGCCTAGACTTTTGCTGTTCTTTCATAATGTCTATCATTATAACATTAGTGCTAACCGGCTTTACACTTTTGATGGTTGAGAATCTGTTAGATATGTCACTAGATTTAATTGCCGAACCGCTTGGTACACTGGACACAATTGGTCTACCAGACCCACTTGGTCTACCAGACCCACTTGGTCTGCCAGACCCACTTGGTCCAGCAGACCCACTTTGATCAGGATCTCTCACTTCCTCATTCTGGTCTTTAATCACTCCAGAATCCTCAAAGCTATCCTGAAGATTGATAGGATCAACTCTATCTTGACCACCTAAAATTTCATGCATCTCGTCAAAATAGGAAGGAGGCTCTTTATGTTCTGCACCTGTGGTCTTCATGTGGCCTATGTATTGCAAGTACTGCTTCTGCATGTTTGCAAATTTCATCCTACATTTTTCAATAGCTTCCCTGCCTTCTCCCACATAATAACCTACCACATTTTTTTTAGCTATCATACCATACAGTTGCCTCTTTATTGTTTTTTTGTCCTCAAATTTTTTAGAGTATGATGCTCGTAACAGCAAAAAATATTGGGTGGCTTCGTGGTCCAGCCCTGTAGGTTTTTTTGAAGTCCAAACCACCACCGTTCTACCTTGGGATGCTTGGGATGCCTCTGATTCCTCAGACTCTAGAGATTCATTTTCTCCTTTTAATTTATTTTCGATGAAGTTGCTTGCTTCTTCCGGATCTAAAATACACACAGTTCAATAAATACACCAACAAAAAGTTAAATTTTATTTACTTACCATTGAGCAATAAAGTCGCTGTTTGTAGGGGGACTACAACCAGGTAGTCCTGTCCTTTATTATTTAGGCATATTTCTACTACTGATCCATCATTGATTTCAACGTTCTCATTACATTGCGCGTCGTCCATTTTGTTACAATAATAGATAACAACTGTTAGAACAATGAACATAAATTTAAAAATAAAAACATACAACATATATCAAAATTCAGCTTGTCATTCTGTCAAAAGTGCCAACTGTCATTCAATTATCACTTTTAATACCGCTTTGTTTTCGCGAAACTTTGGAATTACCTGTCAAGGTAGTGGGTGGGGGGTATAACCGCATGATAACTAGCGGTTATCAACGGTAACTCGCCAAAAAATCCCTCTGTAGAGCACTGAATGATTATCAGTTTATAAACAATAAAATTAATCACAACCTTTTTTTTATTGAATAATTTAAGATTTAGCCTGTTTGTGCGGTGATAGGGGACACGAAGCCAAAGAAAAGTGGCTTCTCGCCTCGGTTTAGTTTAGCTAATGTTTTGCAAGCCAGCTCTTAAGGCTGTTCCACGGGGGTCGGATTCTATGTAAATAGTTGGTAACAGGTTTGGTTGACCTCGACAGTAGCGCGCTAAGCACTTACGGTTGAACTAAACCTGTCAGTTTCAGTCGATAAAGTAGGACACTACTAAGTAAAGCGATTTAAAAATTGGCAGGCTTCATAATTTAGATAATTTAAGCAATTTAAAGTAACATTTTCCTATTTGACAACTTTTACTTACAATTACTAAACAAACAATAAATTTAGTGAATTTTTGTTGTAGGTAAATGTTGAAAAATTAAAAATGTTACTTGTTTTAACTGAAAAATAAAATTAGTTGAAAAATAAAACACATTTTTAACAAGTTTAATTTATTTAGAATTATCATGTGATTACATGTGTCTCATTATCTTTTTTAACTGCATATTTTAAACATAACAAGCACATTAAACTACTAAAAAATAAAAATATAATATGATAACCAGCATAGCACATGACAATGTTTTTGTTATTAAAAAACCAAATATAGTTTTCACTAGTAATACTACTAGAGGTCAAATTATTTCCGGAAATTTTTTCTAGCTCATGAATATTTTGAAAATTTCCCGAGTCGCAGACGAAGGAAATTTTCTAAAAATATTCATGAGCGAGAAAAAATTTCCTGATATTAATTTGACCTCGCGTGGTATTCGGTAAGAAAATTCCACGCCGAATTATGGTTGAAAATTAAATATTTTTAAAATTTATTTTTCGTTTCTCAACAATGCAAATTATTTTCTCCAAGTCACCAGTGAAACATAAAAGGTGTTGTCGCCTTGATTGTTGAGTTGTCATGGTAACTAAGTGAGACCCTAACCTCGAATATAATTTCAGTTTTAAAGTTGTCAAGTGGCCCGACGTAAAAAAATGTTTCGCTTCGGTCAAGAAAGCAAAGAAAATATTCGTCAGGAGATTGAGCAGTTGACACCCGCGAATACCAGAAAATCGAAGTCAAGCGTATGAAGGCAGTTTACAAACTTTTGCGCAGAAAAATCATATAATTTCGATAGAGCGGATATACCTGTGGAAGAACTGGCGCTTATTCTTGAAGATTATGGGTTCAACATGCGAAAAAAGAATTCTGAAGATTACAAGGAGAGTGTCATCAAAGTTTTATGGAATTCCACAGCTACGCAGTTGCAGGAATATTTTTTTGAAAAATATAATCGCAAATTCAATCCATTCTCTGACATAGAATTTTTGAACGCAAGAGCTGCAAAAAATGCTAAGCGCCGGAAGCTACAAATGGATCCAAGCAAGAGAAAGGAAAGTTCATCTGCACTATCAACAGACGAGCTGAGAAAAAATCATTGAGATTTGGGACGAAAACACTCCGGAAGGACTGCAGAAAAAGTTTTTTTACGTTGTTGCTCATGAATTGGCCTGGAGAGGAAATGAAGGAGCGGCAGCACAACTAGAATATTTTGTGGAGGAAATTGACAATAGAGGAGAACCAACAGGCCGCATTGAGTATAACCCGGTTTTCTCCAAGACCACCCAAGGCGGTTCAAAGAAATTAGCTGACAGTAAGTGGTTAGTACCGAATACACTCAACGAAGAAATATGCCCAGTGAGACTGTTCAAAAAACTAACAAGCAAGCGAGGTCCTATCAAAACGAAGCGTCTATTTTTGACGCCGAATCCAAACTGGGAGAATCCCAGTTCCAAAGGCTGGTACAAAAACAGTCCAGTTGGACAAAATACAATATCTTCCTGGTTCAAATCCGCTGCATCATTGATAGGAATTGATGTTAAAAAGATCAAAATAACTAATCATTCTGCAAGGGCTACTGCTGTTTCAACTTTAGCCAAAACTGGAATTGGAGAACAGCAATTGATTAAAATAACCGGTCATGGTAGCAGTCACTCAATAAAACCATATCTGCAAATAAATTCGGCACATCATCAGGAAATAATTGATGCAATGAGGTCTGCTTCAACTTCGGCAAAGACGATTCAAGAATCTCTGAATCAAGAACCAGCAACTACTTCCAAGCAACCTTCCATAGTTTATAATAATTGCGTTTTCCACATAAATAATAATTACAGTAGTCCAAATAATATAAATAATTAGATTTAAGTGTTATCAATTGTAACCGTATTCATATTATAAAATAAAAAACTAAAATTCTATTTTGTTATATTATTTTTCAACTCCTGGAAACCCAGCTAGGCAAATACAAATTTCGATAACATCCTCTAGGTCTATGGTTAAAAACCTGCGATAATTCTGAAATTTTTACTCATTGTAGTTGCATGAAAATGGCAACCTAAAGCGTAACATAATATATTTTTCTATTTTATATCAATTTTGGATTACTACAAGTGTTAGAAAGTTATAATTTTATCAAATTTAATTTAATGTGCTTTGCAATTTCAGTAATGGTTTCGCAACCTGCCCTTTAATCAAGGTATATTGTTTTCTACTCATTGTAGTTACACAGTACTGCAGTTTTATGATGAAATATATTACATTCTCTGATTTTTTATTTACTTCGGGCTACTACAAGTGGTAGAAAACGAAAAAAATATTATTTTTGTATAGATACATACGTACAGGAATCGTTTTTAGGTACATAATAATATTCAGTTTGTCTTTACACCAATGGACCCTATAAACTGTTGATTTCTACCGATTGTAGTACCTCAAAAGTGCCATTTAGGAACGAAAAATGTAATATTCTTTTATTTTATAGTTACATCAGCTTACTACAAGTGGTAGAAAATTATAATTTTAGAGGTTTTTCGGAAACCTGCATGAAGATTCACAACGCGTCATAGCTTTGGCTGCAATTATTTAGGCCTTCAAATTGCTTATTTCTACTCATTGTAGTTGCATGGGAATACCATTTGAAAATAGAAAATAGTATATTCTTTAATTTTACGTAAGTTTTGAATAACTACAAGTGGTAGAAAATTGTTTTTCTGCGTTTTTATTAACATGCGTTATGAGCGCTTTAAAATGGTATGAAATTCATAACCAGCGTCAGCAAGCATCAATCGTAGGAGGCTGTGATCATTGTATTTTGACAGTTCAAAACATTAAATAACTCGCGTTTTGTTGCGATAAAGAATATTGAACAGCAAGTAAAACCAACAAAATTACCTATTTGTTTAATAATGAATCGATTTGAAAATCATACGCTATGCAAAATATGCGTGAAATTGTCTGATGTAATGATCAATCATCGCACCATGACTTACTTACTCGGATTAATAGAGGATTGTGGCTCCAACTTGAAAAACTAAAATTTGTTCCGAATTGTCCACGAATATTTGCACCTAAACTACGCAAAATTCAAAGTGCTGAATGGGAAAAAGGTAAATAAATTAGTGTCTAAATATTATATATATTTTATTAGACATAGACACATAATTCAAAGCATCCAAAGTCCTGCATTTTCGCCATTAAGAAGAAAAGAAGTGGCCGAAGAATATAGAAAACACCTTAGCATTGTAACTAAAATGTATCAAAACTAAACCTATTATGTGAACAAATAAAAACCAGTCTGTCAAAAATGGTCTGTTATTGTAAACGTCAAAAAATTTCCAGTATAATTCGCTATTGGGTACCCCACGAGAAAAAAAAAATAAGCACAAATCATTCGCCTTTTTTCATCATGATCTTTATGAGTTAAACTATGATGAGGTTCTATCTCGGGTTCTACAAAATCTGTTTGTAAATTAGCTCACATTTCGCTCACAACTCCTTTAATTTTTTTGACCACAAATGTTTAAAATGTGGATCCATTTATCTCTGAGTATTAATATTAGCAGGAAAAATATAAAATTTCTTGTTAGTTTTGTGAGAAAAATATTTACTTCTGCAATTAAAATTTAAATGAATCAAAAGTTAATGACATTCTTAAGAACCTCCCTATAGTTAAATTAGTTAAATCTAACTTATACTAAATTAATACAATTTACTCACCTACATTTAAAAAAAATATTACCTATATTTGAAAATAAAAATATTATCAGACTGACATATTTATGGCAGCATAACCTGATTTATTTTTAAAGCCAGATTTACACCATCTAATAATATTTAAATTTAGCTTTAACTTTACATTTATTAACGATTATCCATGTATTAAATCACACATTATATTAAAGTGAAATTTAAAGTGGTAAATCAGTAAAATTGTTGATTTCTTTGTCATTGTTTTTGAAAACATAGTTTTTTGTGGGTGTAAAACGGGTTTGAATTTAGTGATAGCAGCGCGCTAAGCGCTTACGGTTCAACTACCAACAAGGAAACAAGTCCGGCCATTTATTCAAACCTTCTCTTTTTATTTTTCTATGGGCTGTTCTACCGCTTTCGGTTATGAAGTTGAGAGGTACCTCATCCATTTCATAGAATATCTCTGTACGCAACCCTCTCTTTGTTTGTGTAAAGACAATAATTGTACGTGTAATAATTCTTATTTCTCCGCGCAGTCTAATGGAACTGCTCTCTTTCTGGGTATTCAACAGGTATTCAACTACAGCTGAGGCGCGGACTGGCCGAATTGGTCTGTGTATTGCATATATTTGCAGAATATAATATAATTATTTATGTGTTACTTTCTTTTAATTTGACTTACAAAGTGACATTTTTGTAATCGCAGCGAGTGTCCAAATGATCTATCTACTTTGAGTTACATAAAGTTGAACATTATGTAACTGGTTATGTCACAAATATGTTCATGATTGCGAAAAGAAAATAAATAAAAGAAACCTTTTTTTTTTTAATAATTTATATTATTTCAAGAGCCTAAAAATAGCCTAAAAATATGGTGTCGTTGGTTTTGGAAAAAAGCTTTAAAAAACTGAGGTGCTCTGCTGGATTCGTTCGAAGATAGCAATATTCTTTAAAAAATACATTTTTTTTGAAAAGTTATATATTGTTTTAAGAGCCTAAAAATAGCTTAAAAACGTAGCATAACTAGTTTTCTGAAAAAAATAATAATAAACCGAGGTGCTCTGCTGACTTTTCTCCAACAAAGAACCCTCTATTATTTAAAAATAGCAATTTTTTAGTAAAGTTTTATAATATTTCAAGAGCCTAAAAATAGCCTAAAAATGTGGTGTAGTTGTTTTTAGAAAAAAGCTTTAAAAAACCGAGGTGCTCTGCTGGATTCGTTCGAAGGTAGCAAAGCACCCTGTATTTTTTGAAAAATACATTTTTTTTGAAAACCTATATATGGTTTTAGGAGCCTAAAAATAGCTTAAAAACGTAGCAAAACTAGTTTTCTGATAAAAATAATAATAAACCGAGGTGCTTTGCTGACTCTGCTCCAACAAAGCACCCTCTATTATTTAAAAATAGAAATTTTTTAGTAAAGTTTTATAATATTTCAAAAGAGAAACTATTATATTGTCATTCGAATTTTGTTACCAGTATTAGTAAGTACATCTCTGCTGAAAGGAGCTTTTAAAAATTAAAACTTAATAAAACATTATTGTAAAAAAACAATTGGCCAGCAAACACTCTCAGATTTGGTAATTTTATCCATTGAAGCAGATATAGCATCTAAGCTAGATTATTATAAAGTTATTAAGGAGTTCAGTAAAGCTAAAAGCAGGAAATCTTTAATTCTTCAGTAATTATTTCATAATAATGTTTAACGAGGTCCTTTCGCCACCAATGTTAAATAAAAAATATTAGATTATGACTAAAATTAATTTTTTTCTAATAGTTGATGTCCTTATTTATCTAATAGTGAACTTTTAACTTTACCGTGCAAATTTTTGAGAATTTTTTTTTTTTGTGAGTATTTGTACAGTGTCTTACGAGAAAGTAAGATCTCAACAACAATTATCGAATTATACTGTTATTTATTGATTAGATGGAGTAGAAAAAAAACTAAAAATAAACTTTTTGAAATATTTAGGTTTTGTTTTTTAACAATAAAATATATAGTTCACTGTGGATGTTATTAAGAAATTAATGTTAAAAAAAAATTTCAAGTAACCTAGTTGAAAATTTTTTGTGATTTTTTAATATTATTTTCTCAATAAATTCCAAGGTAACCTATATATTTTATTGATGTGAATTACTTTTTAATAATAAATAAAACCCTCCAAATTTTCTACCGCACCAACAATAATTGTAGATAAGTATTGACGCAAGTTATTTATTTGGACTAGATACGGGTTTAAGTACCCAATATTTTTAGTAAAGTCAATAAACACTTCATTAATTAAATAAAACAACTAAATTAAATTCATTTAGACTTATTATAATTGACTGTAAGTATGCAAAATATGTGTTTAACGCGTAAAACGAATTGATTCTGACAATCCCTTACTTTCAAACAATTGTTTTTCGTATTCTAATTCTCATCTAAATACTACTTTTCGTCTAGGCTAGATTTTATTACCTTAATGTTGAAACCAAATTAAATTCCAAGATGCTTCACAATCAGATGGAGATTTATTGAGAAGTGAGTCGAAGTTTCGTCCTCATTTCAGGAACTCTAGGCTACTTTACGTATATTACGTCAATAACGGTTAAAGTGGTTACTTCAGGAATCTCTTTGTTGAGAAATTACTTTTAAGTAGTAAAATTGTTCCAATTGCAAAGTAGATGAGTGTCAGTGAAAACCAAGTTAATCTAATGCTTTTTTTTTAAATAAAACAACAATTATGCTTAGTTAAATAGTTATAACCATTTTGTGTTTTATATTTTAATAAATGTAGTATAGATTAATTTGCAAAACGCACATAGAAAAGTAAGATATTGAATAAATGCGAAAGTTTATTTTAAACTCTATCTCATCTAAATAAAATTAACAGCTACAAAAATATTCAAAAACTATGTACAACTAAACTTAATCACACCAGAACATGCTAGCGTGCACCCACAGAACTCAGTTTTTAGCAAACTATACTTATATTATATTTTTCAATATAAGCCAATGCCTGTTTGTAAGGTAAGATGTCTAGAATAACTGCAAAATTCATATTAATACAAACTGGCTTTAATTTTCCTTTAAAGTTCTGTCTTAGATTCGCAGCATTAAATAATTCATTATGATTGCGGCTGGGTGCCTTCATAGACATAGAAGGCGTGTTCACAATCGCCCATCTTCAGTATCTATTAAAAGAAGAGGAATCAACAAATCGACCTGTTATTGGATCAAAAGCATGCTGGGAAACCGGAACATTATTTCATCACTGCAGGAAAAGATGTCAGAGGATGTCAGAGGATGTCCACAAGGCGGCATACTTTCACACCTACTGTGGACCATTCTTTTGAATAACCTCCTAGACGACCTCTCTCAGTAGCAAGTGACTTTTCACTGCTATGTGAACAACCTGGTTACCATATTTCGGGAAAAATTCAAAAAGATGATCTTCAATGACATTCAGAAGCCCTAAACCCGATCAAAAGATGGTGCGAGAGGAAGCAGATGCTTTTTAACCCCTGTAAAACTGCTATAGTCTCCTTCACCAAGAGAAGAAACCGACAAGTTTTGACAACTTACCTTGGCTGGGGAAACCATTCATTCTGCGAAGGAAGTGAGATATCTGGGGATTATCCTAGATAAGAAACTCGCCTGGAACCCATATTGGATAAAACTATCAACAAAGCCAGATTATCCCTCTGAAACCTCAGGAGGATATGTGGCAAAGCATGGGGGATTAGTCCTCCATTGATCTACTGGATTCACTAAACAGTGATTAACCCATGGTAACGTACGACTCTGTCGTCTGGTAGGACAACGGACTTCATCGGCTAGAGCAGCTATACTCAACCTTTTTTCTTTCGGGCCACACAAATCTATTTCCTATAATATACGGGCCACAATATTTTTGGGTGATAATTAAAGTTGCCACCCTTTTGAAATGGAAATAAAGGACAATAAGTAACGATAGGGATCCGCTTTAAATATTTTCTATACTAAAAGAAAAGGTCCTCATATTGTTTTAGTTTATATACTTTCTACAAAAAAAAAATATATTTTCATGTTGTTTTACTTGTTTTAATAAGATTTGAAAAGTCAAGTCACAAGGACAGGACTGTAGGTCAACCATTTCAATTACTAATAATCGTGTTTGGAGCTGCACAAATCAGCTTAAAGGGCCACAGGTTGAGTATGGCTGCACTAGAGCAAAGCTGGCAAAAATCCAGCGGCTTGCGTGCCTTGCCATTACTGGGGCAATGTAAGTCACGGCTCCATGGTAAAAGAACACAGGAAAAAAATTTGCAGGACAAAATTTCGCAAATAAAATAGCTCATGACAAAAGAGCGCAAGAACCAAATAGCACATGGATAAATTAACGCAAGACAATACAGCGCAGGATAAAATAGAGCAGGATATAAAAGCGCGTGTCAAAATTTTCTAGTATTCTAATTCAAATTAAAAAAAAAACATACTAATTTACCAAACCTAAGCGACCTGAAACCATCGAATGTTGCTTTAAATAAAGACCTAATGATATAATTCATTTTTTTTATATCCTGTAAAATTATTACGCATGGAGTTAGAAAGTTTATATGTTAAGATAACGATATGTGAAATATTTAAAAATAGCAAATTAGATAAAAAGTTAACTTCCACGTAAAATACAGAGTTTGGAAATTTTTTAAAACTATCTATTTATCCACGTTTTCTTTTGCAAAAAATATCCCAAGTAACTAGAATATAATCATTGTTTTTTAATTAAGAATTGCTATGGACAAGGGTTTTAAACGCATTAGCAAATAAAGAGGTGGAAAGACATATAAAAAAAAACAGAAGAAAAATATTTAGAAAATTTAACAAGAAAAGAAAATGAACAAAATTAACTGCCAGCAGTCTTACACTTAACGTCAGGAACGCTTCAGATTAGTCAGAAGATTTTGCATAGTCTAATGATCGTTTTGATGATTAAATAATTTTTTCTGATAAGTACTTGTTATATACTCAAGTGGGCTCTGGTTTACTATAAATAAAGCTCCGAAAAAAAAATTATTTAACAATTTACTTAGTTTCGATTCATTTAAAATGTGGTGCTTTAATTTAATCCTCGTGTTAACTACGATAGTATATGCAACTGGGTCTCCTTTGTACAATGAGACAAGTGTAGGAGCTAGTTGCACAATAACTTCTTTCTCACAAGTTAATAGCGTAGTAAAAAGTTGTACAAACATAATTATTAATGGACTTGCTGTACCTACAGGAAAAACTTTGCAACTTGACTTAAAATCTGGAACTACTTTAACTTTCCAAGGTACTACATCTTTTGGTTATGGTACGAAATGGGAAGGGCCACTAATATTTATTACTGGAAATAGGATTACTGTGAATGGAGCTCCTGGTTCAAAATTAGATGGACAAGGACCTCATTACTGGGATGGAAAAGGTGGCGCAAATAAAGGAAAACCAAAATTCTTCAGAATCAAAGCTACTGGTGGATCAACGTTCTCAAATGTCCACTTGTTGAACTGTCCTATTCAATGTGTATCGATTCAAAACTCCAACCACCTCACTTTATCAGGATGGAATATTGATAATTCAGCTGGTGACAGAAATAAATTAGGACACAATACCGATGGATTTGACATTTCTAATTCAGATACAGTAACAGTGAAAAACTCCGTTATTATGAACCAAGATGATTGTGTTGCTGTTAATTCTGGAAAAAATTTACACTTTTCAAACTTGCAATGTTATGGTGGACACGGTTTAAGCTTGTCTGTTGGAATGAGTAAAACTGATTCTTCTAAAAACCAGGTATCTAATGTCACTTTTAGTGATTGTACTGTTAAAAATTCCCGTAATGGTATCCATGTTAAAACGCATTCCGATGCTACTTACGGATCTGTTAATGATATTACCTATAGTAATATACAATTATATGGAATCACCAACTATGGAATAAATGTACAACAAGATTATAAAGATGGTTCGTCATGTGGAGTTCCAACTAATAATATTCCAATTAAAGGGTTAAAAATGAGTAAGATAACTGGAACTATGAGCGGATCTAACTCAGTAGCAGTTTATGTAATGTGTGGAAGTAGTGGATGTTACAACTTCAATTGGTCTGGAGTATCGATTTCTGGTGCCAGAAAGGGAAGCTTCTGTAAAAATTACAGACCCCCTGGTGTTAGTTGTGAAATGTGAACATAAATATAATTGTTTATTTATTTTACAAAGCTGGGTGCTTTGAAGTCTAGAAATTTAATTGTGATAAATATTATTTAGTTAATAAAAAAATGAATGTCTAAGAATTTTTTTTTTAATAAAAAAAACATAAAAAAACATTAAAAAAAGTAAAGCATTTTTAACGTGTCCTCTTATCTGTTGCCAGCGATTTTGAGATGGTTATCTTCCTGCGAATCAGAGGTTTTGATTGTCCTAAATACAGTTTCAGATTCTATGAATAGTTGTTTTAACCCTTTTTTGTTAAGTTCATCAACTTTTTCATGTCCTTAAATATAATTATAAAAAAAAGAATGGAATTGTCAATTTAACTTAGGAAGAAATCAACTGATGATGCTATTTTTTGTTAATTAACATACATCGTTAGTTAAAAAAATCCAATCATTAGTTGTCTGGGGTTTCTACCGTCAATAAAATAACTTTATTATTTCAGGATTTTTTAGTTCATTAGGAATAGCAGATTTTTTATATTTTGTTATGTTCAGATTATTTAATTCTTTTCATGTGTTACTTTTTGTCTTAAATTAAATTCCAGGAATGCTTTTTTCTCTCTCTTAATTTACTTGATTTTTTTGAGTTTTGTAATACTCCCAATGATTAGGAACTTTTGTATTATTGAATCTCTCTAATGCCCTGTTTTTATATTTAATCATTATTTTTATTGTGTCTGTAAGCTAAGGTGTTTTATTTTTTGTTATTTTTATTTGCCGTACAGGGGCATGTTTTTGAAATAAATACAATATATCGTTATTTAGAATTTTATTTTTTTGTCAATGTCGTTTGTTGTGTTGATTTCTGAAAAATCACACATATTCAAATCATAATTGAATTCATTTACGTTTAATCTTTTAAAATCGCGGTACTTGTGTAAAAAATGTTTCAATTTATTTTTAACGTATCCAACGTTACGTGAGGGTATTGAATGATCTGAAACGGTAGAACTGGAAATTTTTGTGTCATTAGGAGAAAGTATTTCTGAACAAATAATAACATCTAGTAAATTAGGACTTCTAGTTGGTTGGTCTACAACTTGTATTAGATTATATGAGTTTATAACTGAGTAAAACATAGTACACCATTTATTATTAAGGTCTAGAAAATGTATATTTAAATCCCCAGCAATTATGATATATTTATGTCTTCTTTCCACCCAGTCTCTGCATCTGTAAGTCCGCCATATTTGCAGATCTGCAAACTTGCCGCCATATTTGCAGATCTGCAAAGTTGCAGACGTTCTGTAATCTCACCCTAAGTGCTCAAAGTGATACACGATAGATACATATGGATAAGCAATCTATGTAATTATGTATATCGTTGGGTGTGAGACACGAAGTGTGCTCTATGGAAGTTTATAAAATTTCTTTACTACCGAATCAAATCCAGGTTTCCAAAGCTATATGTTTGTACATCCACGGATGTAACAAGTTTTTTCGATAATGATATTACGAAAATAATTCGACTTTATTTAATTAATAATTACTAAACAATAAATTCCGTATAAAACATTAATAAATCTCCCCCAAAAAGTGCACATTTTTGTCACCAGTTGGCGTTAAAGTCTGACGCATGGTCCCTATAGCCCTTGTGTCAATTGAATGATCTAATCGGTTATGTATTTAACCAGAATAAAGAGCAAACATTATTTTAAAATTATTTTAATAATAATTGTTAAAGATAAATATCTAGGATCTAATTTACAAAAATTTCAATAATTTAACAATCATATCGATTTTAGTATTAATATGGACATTACATAGATCAAAATAGAAATTAGGTGTTTGACATTTTGTGACAACTACTGCGGAAAGTAACATATTCTCACTCGGGTGGAAAGTAAATTCTTATTCATACACGTGTGATATAGGGCACTTTCCATAGGACTATATAGTGTGATATATGTCACTTTCCTAAGTGGTCGTAGGAAAAATTAGTTTATTCCACTAAAGCTTACACCTGTATTACTTATAAATAGATAATTAGACTAAAAAAAATATTCGCGTAGAGAGATGGGATAACTTTGGTTTCAGGAGAAATTATACCACTTCTTGTTTGTTTGTTTGTTTGTTTGTTTGTTTGTTTGTTTGTTTGTTTGTTTGTTTGTTTGTTTGTTTGTTTGTTTGTTTGTTTGTTTGTTTGTTTGTTTGTTTGTTTGTTTGTTTGTTTGTTTGTTTGTTTGTTTGTTTGTTTGTTTGTTTGTTTGTTTGTTTGTTTGTTTGTTTGTTTGTTTGTTTGTTTGTTTGTTTGTTTGTTTGTTTGTTTGTTTGTTTGTTTGTTTGTTTGTTTGTTTGTTTGTTTGTTTGTTTGTTTGTTTGTTTGTTTGTTTGTTTGTTTGTTTGTTTGTTTGTTTGTTTGTTTGTTTGTTTGTTTGTTTGTTTGTTTGTTTGTTTGTTTGTTTGTTTGTTTGTTTGTTTGTTTGTTTGTTTGTTTGTTTGTTTGTTTGTTTGTTTGTTTGTTTGTTTGTTTGTTTGTTTGTTTGTTTGTTTGTTTGTTTGTTTGTTTGTTTGTTTGTTTGTTTGTTTGTTTGTTTGTTTGTTTGTTTGTTTGTTTGTTTGTTTGTTTGTTTGTTTGTTTGTTTGTTTGTTTGTTTGTTTGTTTGTTTGTTTGTTTGTTTGTTTGTTTGTTTGTTTGTTTGTTTGTTTGTTTGTTTGTTTGTTTGTTTGTTTGTTTGTTTGTTTGTTTGTTTGTTTGTTTGTTTGTTTGTTTGTTTGTTTGTTTGTTTGTTTGTTTGTTTGTTTGTTTGTTTGTTTGTTTGTTTGTTTGTTTGTTTGTTTGTTTGTTTGTTTGTTTGTTTGTTTGTTTGTTTGTTTGTTTGTTTGTTTGTTTGTTTGTTTGTTTGTTTGTTTGTTTGTTTGTTTGTTTGTTTGTTTGTTTGTTTGTTTGTTTGTTTGTTTGTTTGTTTGTTTGTTTGTTTGTTTGTTTGTTTGTTTGTTTGTTTGTTTGTTTGTTTGTTTGTTTGTTTGTTTGTTTGTTTGTTTGTTTGTTTGTTTGTTTGTTTGTTTGTTTGTTTGTTTGTTTGTTTGTTTGTTTGTTTGTTTGTTTGTTTGTTTGTTTGTTTGTTTGTTTGTTTGTTTGTTTGTTTGTTTGTTTGTTTGTTTGTTTGTTTGTTTGTTTGTTTGTTTGTTTGTTTGTTTGTTTGTTTGTTTGTTTGTTTGTTTGTTTGTTTGTTTGTTTGTTTGTTTGTTTGTTTGTTTGTTTGTTTGTTTGTTTGTTTGTTTGTTTGTTTGTTTGTTTGTTTGTTTGTTTGTTTGTTTGTTTGTTTGTTTGTTTGTTTGTTTGTTTGTTTGTTTGTTTGTTTGTTTGTTTGTTTGTTTGTTTGTTTGTTTGTTTGTTTGTTTGTTTGTTTGTTTGTTTGTTTGTTTGTTTGTTTGTTTGTTTGTTTGTTTGTTTGTTTGTTTGTTTGTTTGTTTGTTTGTTTGTTTGTTTGTTTGTTTGTTTGTTTGTTTGTTTGTTTGTTTGTTTGTTTGTTTGTTTGTTTGTTTGTTTGTTTGTTTGTTTGTTTGTTTGTTTGTTTGTTTGTTTGTTTGTTTGTTTGTTTGTTTGTTTGTTTGTTTGTTTGTTTGTTTGTTTGTTTGTTTGTTTGTTTGTTTGTTTGTTTGTTTGTTTGTTTGTTTGTTTGTTTGTTTGTTTGTTTGTTTGTTTGTTTGTTTGTTTGTTTGTTTGTTTGTTTGTTTGTTTGTTTGTTTGTTTGTTTGTTTGTTTGTTTGTTTGTTTGTTTGTTTGTTTGTTGGTTTGTTTGTTTGTTTGTTTGTTTGTTTGTTTGTTTGTTTGTTTGTTTGTTTGTTTGTTTGTTTGTTTGTTTGTTTGTTTGTTTGTTTGTTTGTTTGTTTGTTTGTTTGTTTGTTTGTTTGTTTGTTTGTTTGTTTGTTTGTTTGTTTGTTTGTTTGTTTGTTTGTTTGTTTGTTTGTTTGTTTGTTTGTTTGTTTGTTTGTTTGTTTGTTTGTTTGTTTGTTTGTTTGTTTGTTTGTTTGTTTGTTTGTTTGTTTGTTTGTTTGTTTGTTTGTTTGTTTGTTTGTTTGTTTGTTTGTTTGTTTGTTTGTTTGTTTGTTTGTTTGTTTGTTTGTTTGTTTGTTTGTTTGTTTGTTTGTTTGTTTGTTTGTTTGTTTGTTTGTTTGTTTGTTTGTTTGTTTGTTTGTTTGTTTGTTTGTTTGTTTGTTTGTTTGTTTGTTTGTTTGTTTGTTTGTTTGTTTGTTTGTTTGTTTGTTTGTTTGTTTGTTTGTTTGTTTGTTTGTTTGTTTGTTTGTTTGTTTGTTTGTTTGTTTGTTTGTTTGTTTGTTTGTTTGTTTGTTTGTTTGTTTGTTTGTTTGTTTGTTTGTTTGTTTGTTTGTTTGTTTGTTTGTTTGTTTGTTTGTTTGTTTGTTTGTTTGTTTGTTTGTTTGTTTGTTTGTTTGTTTGTTTGTTTGTTTGTTTGTTTGTTTGTTTGTTTGTTTGTTTGTTTGTTTGTTTGTTTGTTTGTTTGTTTGTTTGTTTGTTTGTTTGTTTGTTTGTTTGTTTGTTTGTTTGTTTGTTTGTTTGTTTGTTTGTTTGTTTGTTTGTTTGTTTGTTTGTTTGTTTGTTTGTTTGTTTGTTTGTTTGTTTGTTTGTTTGTTTGTTTGTTTGTTTGTTTGTTTGTTTGTTTGTTTGTTTGTTTGTTTGTTTGTTTGTTTGTTTGTTTGTTTGTTTGTTTGTTTGTTTGTTTGTTTGTTTGTTTGTTTGTTTGTTTGTTTGTTTGTTTGTTTGTTTGTTTGTTTGTTTGTTTGTTTGTTTGTTTGTTTGTTTGTTTGTTTGTTGTTTGTTTGTTTGTTTGTTTGTTTGTTTGTTTGTTTGTTTGTTTGTTTGTTTGTTTGTTTGTTTGTTTGTTTGTTTGTTTGTTTGTTTGTTTGTTTGTTTGTTTGTTTGTTTGTTTGTTTGTTTGTTTGTTTGTTTGTTTGTTTGTTTGTTTGTTTGTTTGTTTGTTTGTTTGTTTGTTTGTTTGTTTGTTTGTT